ACCCCCCATCATCCACCACCCACCACACACACCCCACATCACCACCACACCCGACCACACACTCCACCACCACCACCACCACCACCACCACCACACACACCCACCATCACCACCAGCTACTACCACCACCACACCTACTACCACCATCACCACTACCACTACCACCACCCATCACCACAGCCACCATCGACCCACATCATTCCCCACCACCACCCACCAACACCCAACACCCAACCATCATCACCACCACCACCCACCAACCACCCCAACTAGCTAACACCACACCAACACCAACCACCACTACCCCCACCATCATCACTACCACCACCCCACCTATTCATCACCACCCACGACACAACCACCACCACCACCACCCCACCACCACCACCCCACCACCACCTACCAACCACCACCACGCACACCACCCCAGACACCACAAACACCACCACCACCAACAGCCAACACCAAATCCAACACCAACACACCCAACCCAACACTCAACAACCACCAACACCAATACCAACACCAAACACCAACACCAACACCGAACACCACCACCAACCACCACTACCCACCCACACCACCAACCCACACCAACACACACCAACCACACACCGACCACCAAAAAAAAACACCACCACCACCACCAACCCCACCACTACCACCACCACCACCAACAACACCACCAACACCCACCCCAAACCACCATCCACCACCACCACCACCACCCCACCACCACCACCCACCATTTTCACACACCACTACCACCAACACCACCAACCGACTCACCACCACCCACACACACGCAGTCCACCACCCCTACCACGCCACCAACACACCACACTCAAACACCACCAACTACACAACACCCACAACCAGCCACACCACCACCACCACACCACCCCCCCCCCACCAACCACTACACGAATATGACAACGGCATCGACGACTACAACCTCCACCCAACCACCATCACCAACTACCAAAATTATTAGTATAATATGAATAATATAGTAGAATTATAATGACTATGGTAACGATTGGTTTCCTTAACGGCAAATATTTATGGTAATTTCGTAGTTAACAATCGGATATCGTAAACGGCGAGTGATACTTTTTATAATCAGCTTCACGATATAGCTTTCAGAATAAAGATGATGCAAATCAATGAATAAAGAGCAAGCGACAAGATATCACCACATCAAACACACTTTTAAATGAAGAAATGAAAGGACTCTACGTTTCTTGGAGCAGCATCCAGCTTTGATGAGAGAAGATTACTCATAGGGTCTATACCGCCAAGGTTGAGAAATCGCGCAAACGCCCCACCTCGTCGGTTTTCTCAGGTACATCCACAGCAGGTGCGAGAATTATTAAAAAATACGCATACCTCATCTTGCAAACAAACACACCCACGCACGCACATGCGACATTGCTTGTCTCGATCCACAAACACCATCCTGTTAGAGCAACCGTATAGGGTAAACAGTAAAGCTGAGCTAGGTTACGGTGATGTTATTACCTCGCACGGGCTTGGCGTGGAGGTGGTGTGTTTCACCGGCGTGTCGTTCGTTTGTGGTTTTGTGGGTTTGATGTACAGCCGTAACTAAAAAAGTTATGCGACGGATTGTCATAAAAATTTTCAGGATACGTCAGAAATGGGCGAAACTCTAGAATTGCATTATACTTTGCGTCCTGATCGGATCCAATTATTAATTAACTGAATTAATAAAAATTTTCAAGATAAGTTCAGAATGGAGGAACCTTAGATTGATTAATTTTGATGCGTGATCCAGAATCCAATTAAATGTATTTAATTAATTAAATTCGATTAATTAAAATTTTCATTATTATTAATTAATAAATAAAATAATTTCACAGTGAGAGGAATTTCAGCTGCCTTTGCGCCGGACGGCTGTGCTCTCGAAGTGCTCTAGCTTTCTATTATGTTCACGCCTTTTCGTGAAAACCACTTCATTTCACTGATTTAACAATTACTGTCTTATTGCACTACTATGCTTTACTAGGCTAACCTAATTTTATTCTATTTTACCATATTGATAGCTTCACTTGTGTTACCATTACGTTACGTTGTGTTTTGTTGTGCATTCTACATATTTCCCAACATTGCGCAATCACTGTCTTTATTATACTACTCTTTCACGTCATGCTAATTATGTTCGCCTATAAAAACTCGACTACTATTGTAATTGTACTTTATGGGGGTTGTACCATCTATTTTGTAACACCTATGCGTGTTGTAAGATATGCGCCAGCCTAAAACCTAACTGATCTACTACTGTATAGATTTCACTTAGTATTTCTTATTTCTGCCCATTCAATAAATCGTCCTTCAGCGTACGAAATTCCCACAATGTCATGTCCTTGCAGTCCCGCATCGGTAATTGCTTTATGATGGTGTGCTAATTCATGACAGCTTTACTTACGTTACGTTTCCTTACGTTATGTTGCGTTTTATTATGTTAACCATTGTGTTCCACACATTTCCCTTTATTACTTAGCACTGTACAGTTACTGTCTTTACAATACTCATTAGTCACATATAAGAAATAATTGCACTACTACTGTATATTCATTGAAGTAGCATTTTTTATTTTCGCCGATCTCATGAAACGTTATTCAGCTTACGATATTCTTATAACAGACACTCGTGGCTAACGTACATTAGAATAACGTGCTAATTCCGATAGCCTCACATGCTACGGTTATGGTACATTTGCTTACTTCACGTTCTATTCAATATTATAAATATTATACATATTATAAATATAATGATAAATATGTAAATATAGCATAATGTCAATATGATTGAACATAGTAGATGTGGACGTCGGATATCGAATTATTGTAGCATTAACAGAAACTGTGTTGCCTCATTTAGTCATTATATTGTAAAATCTGCCGATATCAATTACCCATCGCTCTGTTCTTTCATGTCAATGTCAATGTCAATGTCGTTTGGTATAAGCAATTTTATACTATTCGGGGATATAACGATTCACGAGATATAGGCCTAGAGTTGATACTATTTCTAAAGAAGGTTAATACTATGACATAAAATAACATGATGCCCGCGGTACACATTTGATTTTGATCACAGCTGTCTGGAGCTGCGCTGCTGCCAATCGAAAAATGATCCCATTAATCATTTTTATCGCTTAATATAATAACTCTACATAGCCAGGTATTCAACCATTATTGCTGCTTTGAGAAAGGGGACGTGTGAATATAGTTTTCTCCTCGCCGTATCGCACATCAGAAATTCATGGCAAGAGTCATAAAGAGCTGGAAACGGTGCTATTCTCGCCAAACACTTACATTCTGGTTTATTCCTACGCAAGAGTTTCCTTGCATGACGCCGCGAGCAACGAGTTCTGTAGAACCACTGTTCGTGGCGGACTCTGGCGGCTGCATCACAGCCCTGCGTTCCGTCCAAATCTGTCGAATTAGTCAGCAGGCTCCACTCGCTGATCGATGTGCACACGTCCTGCTGGCATCCACCTCGTTTAACAACCGGATTAGTCACAACGTTGCGTTCAAATTCGTCTTCCCCGAGAAACGCTTGGAGTAAGCCCCATGTGCCTGCGAGTTCACATGCCATATATTACATTGCAGCGCAGCGTGCTGGTAGTGGAAAAATCAAACAATATTACAATTCCCGGTAATTTTCTCATGGCGAGGCGTCGTGATAGAGGTTGGTAAGAAGGTTCATGAAATGCCTTAATCGATGAAAAATATTAATATATATATATTTTAAGCTTATTATTATTAATATATATATATATTAAAAAA